TGTGTGTGTGTGTGTGTGTGTGTGTGTGTGTGTGTGTGTGTGTGTGTGTGTGTGTGTGAAGAAAAATAGAAGTGTACTTGATTGTATTAGAAGACCAAGATTCTGAAAGGTACATGTTGTTGAACAAATACTCAGTAGTTACAGTGCCTGTAATCTGCATCTGTAAGATGCTTTGTTAATGTACTATCTCATTTTAATGTACTGTGGTAAAAAACAAAATGAAATGTTTAGCAGAGGAAGCACTGAGACATTTTTTGCTTTAAAAAAAACTCTACTTTATTCTAATAGTATTTTTCCTTAGGTTTTTTTTTCTTTTAAAATAAAAATTCTATTTTCCTGTCTGGATTCAAAATGATTGACTAGAGCACAATATTAAGTAATAAATAAAACAGTCCTACTGCCTGAAAGACTCCTGAATAAAGAGAAAATTATTTTTGGATTTTCCTTCTGATCAGATATGAAATATTCTGAAACACCACCTCTATAATTTGATAAAAAGCTTGATATCCCCAAATGAAAATAGGACTCAGCACTTTCATTTTTCTGTCTCTAAAGAAACCTCTAGGTAAACTGATTTTAAAAAAATGAAAATCTCAAGCATAAAGGTAGGAGTAATGAAGCAAGTTTAAATATGCGCTGACCTTTGAAATGAACTGCAATCCATGTTGTTTGGTCAAGAAGCTGGCTGTGTTACTGTCCCCATTGATTTCTACAGCATAAAAGATGTAGGTATTGGAGCTGCCCTGCTCTCTGGTGGATGTTGACAGGCATCGCTGAAAATACACTAGCACTAATAGAAACAGCCATATGTTCATTGCTCTGAAATAATAAAAAGAAATCCATCAAGGATAAAAATATAAGGAGTCAGGGGAGAGTAATGTTTACCATAAGAATGTATCCAGAGGCAGATTTCTCTTTTTTCCCCTCCCAATTAAAAAAATTGCTATCCTTTGTTTACTGGTGAAGTACCAAAAAAAGTATACCAGAAAAAGTATCAGCTCTTGGAGGCTATGAAATATTGTTATGTTGTTTGATGACATTGGTTCCTGTCAGATGCTATGTTACATGCTTTTTAGGCAATACATGCTCCAAAATAAAACTAAGATCTTGCAGCTTTAGCTACAAAGTAATTATTTCCTCCCTCCCCCAGATCTATCTCTGCTTCAATGGATTTTATTTATAAAATCAGCGAAAGCAGGAGCTGTTCTTTAGTACTGAATACCAAGTGGTTCTCCTTTAAAAAGTTACACGTTTGGTAACACAACATATCAAAATGCAATGCTGCCACTCAACGCTTGAACTTCACATTGTTTTGGTAAGTGCCACTAAGAATATTTAAACATGTGAAAGCTCATTTTATGGCTTCCCCAAATACATTTATAAGTCTTAGCTAAAATGACAAACTCATGATTCAATCAAGTATTGGCTAGGAAGATAAATGTTAGAAATGACAAAGCCAAGGGGAGCCTCTGCCATTAGTGAAATAATACAGGTGACCTATTTAGGTAATATTGGTACAGAACGCTGATATTTTAAAGCTCTGCAATGTTAACTCTTAAGGACTAGATTCTGGTTTTTAAATCCAGGATAACAGTGGAGCAACCATGTTGCAATGGGAGAACTCACATGAATTCTGGCTGACTTAGCCAGAATTCCTTCTGGGAAGGAGACACTAAGCAGCTCTGACAGCTTTGCAATGAGCGCAGTATGCATTCACTGTGCATAGCTCCGGGGGCTCCGTGGAGAAGGACAGCAGGATCAGGGACTTTTCAGGTAGCCAGTGCAAGCAGAGCTTTAGCAGGTACAGTGCCTGCTCTTGAGTGGAACTGCATCCAGTCCCCATCATGGGAGCTCAACAGAGGGGAGGGTCTTTTTATACTCTCCCTTTCTTGTGCATCTGATTAGGTCTGTGGTCTATCACGTCCTAAGTATTATTAATCTATTATCCAAAGCATTTTAAAGGGATTATTCCTTATGGGACGGCATTCTGCTCATTTCCAGGTTTTAACATTTTTACCATATCCACCATTTTGCCTCTCCCATCCCACCTTCATTCAAAGGGGTTTTTTAAAATAACTTTTAGAAATAATTTTATAGGCAATTACATAAAAATATGCACAGGTGGACTGTGGTCTCAGTTTAGCTCCTTGAAGACATGCCTACATCTCATCCATCCCAACTAGTAACCTTGTTAGAAGCCTTAGTACTTCAGCAAAGATAACAAGGACCAAACGTGACAGGTGACTGTACTAGCCTTTCATCCCCCAGCAGCATCCTTCACATTAGGCTTAAATTAGGGAAGCTTGCACTATTGTTGCCACTGCTGTTCTTATTCTGTGGTTAAATAGAAAACCTGGGTCTTCAACAAAATGAAACCATTGCTAGAGCTGGTCAGAACATTTTTGACTAAATGAAATTTTATCCAAATATGCCATTTAAAAGCCAAAACATTTAGTGGAGACATCACTGTTGACAAAGTTTTTTGTAAGGAAGAGAGGCAGACTCTCTCTCTCTCTCTCTCTCTCTCTCAATAGCCTGGAGTTTAAGGCACTGGCCTGGGATATGAGAGACTCAACTCTGCCTAATTCAGAGTGATCTGGGGCAGAGGTGCTGAAACAATTTGTATAGTGGGGGTGCTGAGACCCATAGTGCTGAGAGCCAAACTGTAAACCCTGTATATGATGGAAACCACTTCAAGACAGGGGATGCAGCAGCCCCCTCTGCACCCCTAGTTCTAGCACCTATGGTCTCTTGGGTGAAAACAGCTCTAAAACAGCCAGAGCAGGAATCAATCCAGGATCTCTCACATTCCAAGCCAGTACTCTCACCACCAGGCCACATACATATAAAAAAATTGAGGTTTTGATCCAAAACCAGAGATTTGACAATTCAATTTTCATGAAAACAGTCAAAAGGTTTTGTTCTGATTCCAATATGAAATGAAAAATTTCAAAACCTCAAAAGTTACTATGAAACAGAATTGTTGTCCTCTGGCCAGCTCTTTCCATCACCTTTCATAAGCACTATATTCATTTACAATTTAAAAAATATGCAAAATACAATCAGGGTCTTGTATGAAGTCTCTCAAGCTGGGATGCACCAGTAAGGCTCCAGTCCAGGGTCTGAAATGCAGTACGTCCAAGGATATTTTACAGAGTCCCATCAGCTGGGTTCTTTGTTCAGTTTGGGGTCTTGTATGGTTAATGGGCCCCACTGAGGCTGCAGGTAGCCTCTGCTCCATGCAGAAGCTAGAGCCAAGGAATAGGAACAAAAAAAGCAGCTACTTCCCAAAACTGCCACAATCTCCTGATGGGCCAGCTAACCAGACGTTAAAGCACCACTAAATTCGAGCTAGAGATTGCCGGGGGGGTCATGCTAACTGTACTCAGAAGACACACCCTGTGATGTTCCATAAAGTGACTGTTGAAATGTATTAAAAGTTAGGTTGGTTTTTTTTTCATATTACATAGCATGTTAACAAATACTTTTTTATTCTCTAATTAGTGGACTAAATAAAGGCAGAAGATAGCTAGTCCAGATATTATTTGAACACTGAGGAACTGTGTGTAGCAACCCATAACCCCACCCACCCACCCACCTACACACACAACATTTATATCTATTAGACAGTACTAACCATATTGGAGTAGGGAAAATTTGGGTACAGAAGAGATGGAACCAAACTGCTGTCTTAGAAAATGAATGAGGATTACTTAAATTAGGATTTGGTACAAAGCCAAAGGTACTGAGAAGGACTCAGGTCAGACAAAGACTTCTGCTACAGATGTCACTAGTACAGTAAATGGTAGAAAAGAATGGATAAGTTACAGCTCAAACAAGGGAAAGGTATGTTCTGGAAAAGTAACTATTTTATACAAAGTTGTTGAGTAAGAATAGGCACTAGCATTAGTCAACATATACACACTAATGCAAGAAGCTTAACAGCGGTTGAAGAGGTGCTTGGCACACTAGGCATTTCTTACATAATAGTAGCTTATGCTATCAGCTACTGGAACAGAGAAAAAAATAGAGTGTCCAATCTTGAGAGATTAAGGAGGAAACAAAATCTAGAAGGAATAATTATGGGCTGCTTCAACTACCCACATATAAACTGGTCATGTGTGACATTGGGACAATGATTAGAGAAGCAGTTGATAGAAATATCTGAGGAAAAAACGAATCCAAGTAGTAAGACATTATATGTCAAAACAGAGAACCTATTACACACAGAAATCCCTCCAAACTCTGAGGAGAGAGAGTGGTAATCCCAAAAATATGTCTTCCCAGAAGGACAAGTACAAGGTTAGTAATTTCCCCCTCTCTGAAAATATCAACAAGAGGTGGATGGGGAGAGTCTCACTCCTGGAGTGTTAATACCTTGATGGATGTCACAAAATAAAGTGTCTCAAACACACTGCAGCAGGTAGAATGAACAAGGTCAATGCCAGTAGGTAAAAGTTTATTTTACACAAAAGTAATATGGGAAGGGTAAAATACCTTCCCAAGCATGCAGCTAAACAAACCAAAACCTGTAGAATGCATCTAGGGTGGGGGAGAAAAATTTTCTAAAAGTGTGGCCAACTCAAATGCAGCCCTTCCCATGACATGTGGCTCAAGCCTCTTCCCTGGTTCTTGCTACTTGGGGTGGCTTCTCCCCTTTCCTTGCATGGGTTGGGTCCTGGGTTCTTTCTTGTGATTTCTGGTGCTCCACCCAAAGTGATGCCTCACTGTGCCTGGGAGACCAGGGGAGCTGTCCTTTGGAAAATGAATAATGCTACTACTGGTGGCAAGGAGTATAAAATGCAGTATACAAAAAACAATAAAATTCATTAGCATAAACTCCAGGAAAGGAACGACATATGCAAAAATATATCGCAAAAGGGGAGTTTATTGGGAGCAGGAAAATAGGACCTTGAGAAGGCAAGGGTTAGGGTTAACTACTACTAAGTACTAAAACATCAACAAATCAACAATTTCCCCACCTCCTAGCACTCAACTCTTCCAACCCCCAGCTCCCTCCCTGGAACCTTCCCAGGCATATGGTGCACTAAGGGTGAGTCCAGACATGAGTGCTGCAGCACTGTGAACATAAGCTGCTTTAAAAACGGGGGAGGGAACACTTATGGTGTCTTCTCCTGACTCTCAGTAGCTGGTGCAGTGTCGGATCTCTGACACTCTGGGTGCTGGTCTCTGCAAGGATGGAATTGCTTGAGCCATGCACTAGATCCACTGTAATTCAAAGTCTACCTTTGTGGGGAGGGGATTGGGACTTAATCAGACACTCCTTGAGCTGCTCTAAATCTCTCAATTCCCAAACTCAAAGCTGAAGCTAAAATTGTCTTTGTCTCTGGGTCAGGATGTCCTGTCCCAATGAGGTGGCTGAGCAGTCCTGGTTCATCAGTGGCCCAGAAAACTGCTTTTCCAGATCACCCTATGCAGAAGCCTACCTTTCCTATTGGCCTCAGCAGGAGGTTTTTAGTCCATTCTGTCACCACCCCTGACTCGAAGCAGGCTGGGAAATGGTGTCAGGGGACTCTGGTAGTCATTACTGTTGTAGTTCCTTGGGTAAGACCCCATAGAAGCTCAGTCCAGAGTTCCATGGGTCATACTTTAAGAAACAAAACTCTGGGGATGGGTGAGTTGGGATTTGGAAAACAGGTTTTGCGGAAGAGTCTGAAGTGAGACTCCTCCATTGAGGTTCTACTGGCCAGGTTATGCACAGAGACACGAAGAAAGGCACAGAGACACGAATACTGTATGCCAATATTATAGCTGTGTTCAACTTGTATCATTTCAAGTGTTAGGTTGGGTTGAAAACC